ATACTTAATATACAATATACAGTGTCCGCCAAAAAGTCGACAACACCTATTCTATTTCTGTTCCATTACATCAACGTTTCTTACATTTAGCTTATATGGGAGGTTCATACCGATCTTTCGATCTAAAGTAGTTTCAAAATCGTGGCCTCAACTTCATTATTTTAAATGGAATGCTATAGTTTTTATTGTACCTTTTAATTGTATGCGAAAAAATATGTGGACTTTGATAAATGTTTTATTTAAGTTTTTGTTTGGTAAATTTCACCATGGTTTTAAAACCCCATATCTCAGCCAATATTTATTCAAGAAAGCTCTAACTTGGTAAGATTACTCTTCAGATGATATCAAATAGATTGTCATTTGTTGTATCAGAGTATCTTATACAGGACGGTCAAAAATTGAATCAATAATCGGTCAAAATATGGTTGAAATTAATAGAGTGCTTGTTGCAAAAATTCATATCGACACCCCAAAAATTCATATCGACATCCCAAAAATCGCATTGTTACATACACACACAAGCTTTAGCAACAAGTAAGGTGCCCACTTATTTAAAGAAAGTTGTAGATGAAAGTGAGAAAATTATGAACTGCATTAAAGGCCATTGTTTGAATGCATATATTTCGCAAAATATGTAAAAAAGGAGAAGTACTTCTTTTTCATACGGATATTCGTTGGCTATCTCCAGGGAAAAATCCAAACTGATTGTTTAAACTTAGACATCAACCTTAAGTTTTTCTTAATGATGGATTTAAGCTGAAAAATTGTTTACATTACTGAAAATGGCTTTGTAAACTAGCATACTTAGCAGATACATACTCTATTTTAAATTGCCTCAACTTATAGTTATAAGGTAAAGAAATCTCATTGTTTGACTTTCAGGATAAAGTAAATATTACCATCGCAAAACTAAATTTCTGGCAAAGAAGAGCTGATAACAGATATTGAAAGTTTAAGTTGTTCGCAGAACAGATAATATTATTTTCTGAGTAATATACTTTTTTTTCACATTTTCCATGTGTCTTAATAATTTTCCCTGTCTATTCCTCTTCGTTCAACGAAACCGTCTCCACATCTTTGAAACCGCTGTTTTGAGGTCCCAACGCTAAACACAATGGAATATGTTTTTATTTTTAATTTTATTGAAAATAATATCAGCAAACTAATTACAATTTTCTTAGTAATTACATTTTATTTTACACTGCACAAACATTGAAGTCAAAAGATAACTTCTGCTAATATAACAGCGTTAATCTATTAGCGATTATTTGTGTTCATAATTTCATAATCTAATTAGAAACTAGAAAAATGTAAATCAATTTCCAGGAAGAAAGTTTAACCAAAATTCAATATAATAATGATTATAACATTTCGTTAAATCCGTTAACAAACACAATATAATAACAAGTTATTGCGTAAACAAGATCATTTACAGCATTCATCAAAGATTGTCTTCAAGCATTTTTTTTTAATTTGTGTTATTTTCCTAAATAATTATTTTCACAGGTTAATTTTGTTAAAATGTCTTGTAAAGAACTTAAAATATTCAAACCATTTAGTAATTTAAGTTGCTTTAAACTGCTTTTTATTTCATAACGATATCTCAATTAGCTTCTGAGATACGTAAAAGTTAGTTACTCTAACATTTATGTTTAAGATTATGCAAGGTTGTTATCAAAGAATTATAATTCTGAAATTTAAAGAATCCAAGTAATGATCTTCAATATATTAAATACTGAATAAATTTACTTTAAATTCCTTTTTATTTCATGGTGATATCTTATTTAGTTTCTTAAATATGATTTTTTTAACATCTATTCTTAAACTTTTGAATAATCAAACATGCCAATTTGGGGTTAAAAAATCATAACGGCGATGTTTATAGAAAATTAAAAAAATAGTTCTGGCACATTAAATCTTCATAAAATGTTCATTATTTCATTTTATAAAATTTATATTTCATATCTATATCAATCAAACATGCAGAGTTGTATTTAAAAATCATAACAACGATGATTATGGAAAATAAGAAATTATTTATGAAGCATTAAATCTTCATTAAATTTGCTTTAAAGTGCTTTCTATTTCATAACAATATCTCAATTAGTTTCTGAAATACGTAAAAGTTGGTTACCCTAGCATTTATGTTTAAGAATATGCAAGGTTGCAATCAATAAATCATAACTCCGAAATTTGAAGTTTCGAAGAAATGATCTTCAATGTATTAAATAGTAAATAAATTTACTTTAAATTGCTTTTTATTTCATGATGATATCTCAATTAGCTTTTAAGATACGCTCTGTATACAGTTAGAGTGTCAACAACACTTCTAACTGATGCAATGTTCTTTAGCTAATCTCATTGGCAATGTACTTCTTGCAAATAATCACCACAGAATACACTTTGATATACTAGATTGATTTTGATCTCTTCTAATATATTACAGCTACAACGTTCAGAAGTGTACAACATCAGTATAAAGTCTCTTTTCAGCAATCAGTGCTATTTTAGTTCTATATATTGTTACCATCTGCGAAGGTTACTTTTTCAGTATTTAGAGAGGTTCTTCTCCAGCCAAGATAGATTTGCCAAGTTGTATTTAGAATTATATAGTGATATTATTATTAAAGATCCAAAAATGTAGTGGATTTACTTAAGTTGAAATAGTGAATTTAATGTATCAGCCCGTTTATCGGTGTCTCAAGAAACAAATTCCTAAACAAAACTCAAAATACCCGATTTCTAAGATATATAAGCTTAATTTCAAAATTTTTATTTCTTAAGTGGACTTCGAACTTATTTCTGAAAAAGGTTGCAACATGGCATCTGAAATGTCAAATATTTTTTCAAAAAACGCACGGTTTAACCCGAAAGTTTCTAGTTCTGGTGATAGTGTCTAGATTTATTTGAATTAACACGGCTGTGAAAGCCTTCGTACTTAAATTACTAAATGGTTTGAATATTTTAGGTTCTTTACAAGACATTTTAACAAAATTAACCTCTGAAAATAATTATTTAGGAAAATAATTCAAATTTAAAAAAAAAACATGCTTGAAAACAAGTTTTTGATGAATGCTGTAAACGATCTTGTTTACGCAATACCTTGTTATTATATCGTATTTGTTAACGAAATGTTCAAAATTATTATTATATTGAATTTTGATTAAACTTTCTTCCTAGAAATTAATCAACTTTTTTTTAGTTTCTAATTAGATTATGAAATTATAAACACGCTTCTATATTAGTAGAGTTTATCTTTTGACTTCAATGTTTGAGTAGTGTAAAATAAAATATAATTACTAAGAAAATTGTAATTAGTTTGCTGATAATATTATTTTCAATAAAATTAAAAATAAAAATAACTTCCATTGTGTTTAGCGTTGGGACCTCAGAACAGCTGTTTCAAAGTTGTGGAGACTGTTTCGTTGAACTACTGATAAATGCTTCTACTTGTCATTTCGAGAAAAAATGAAGAGGAATAGACAGGGAAAATTATTAAGGCACATGAAAAATGTGAAAAAAAGTAACATTTACTTTATCCTGAAAGTCAAACAATGAGATTTCTTTAAAAACATGTCTAAGTTTAAACAATCGGTTTGGATTTTTCCTGGAGAGAGCCAACGAACATCCGTATGAAAAAGAAGTACTTCCCCTTTGTTACATATTTTGTGAAATATGTGCATTCAAACAATGGCCTTTAATGCAGTTAATAATTTTCTCACTTTCATCTGGAACTTTCTGTAAATAAGTGGGCACCTTACTTATTGCTAAAGCCTGTGTGTGTATGTAACAATGTGTCGATATGATTTTTGGGGTGTTGATGTGAATTTGCAACAAGCACTTTATTAATTTCAACCATGTTTTGCTACATCTATATTTATTTCATCACCTTTAACATAACATTAGAGATATCTTCCCTTCATGTGTGATTTGAAAACTGAAAATAAAAAGTCGTCATGAATTTATTAGTCCTTTCCAATCGCCGAGTGTGTACCAGTCAGCGAGCCAGCGAATATTTGCTCCTTGATGTTCAAGACCGAGGCGGTGTCCATACCAAACAAACAAGAACACAGTTCTTGCTTGTTTGGTATGGACGGTTGCTCAATATCAATTGCGCAAGTCAATTCAAATTGAATAGAGTAGATTCAACGCTCAAAATTTCCGAAATCGTATAATTCGAGTTGCCATCGGTGACACTAATCAACACAGATGGTATGACATTGTTGTCTGGGTCAATGTTTTGTCTGGGTGTTGTGTAATGTTATTGATGTTATTCAATCAACCCTCTTTTTCCTATCTACATCTTTAATATATGTATAGCATATAGCTTAATATCAAGAATTTCTATATTATTAATCATTAAACGTGAAGATACCAAATAGTATAGAAGTATTCAGTCTTGCTGCCTGCGTTCGTTTTTGAGAAAAAAATTCAAAGCTGTAATTAAAGAAACGATTGATTGATTAATAAAAGTGAAGAGTCGAAATTTGATGGATTTACTTAGAATTAAATGGTGAATTTAATGTACCTATCAACCCATTCATTGGCATCTTCATTTGGTTTTGTGAACTAAATATAACTCAAAATACCCGATTTCAGTCGACATATATGTAAGCTTAAATTCAAAAATTTCTATTTTAGTAAATGTGCGGACACCAAATAATAAAGATTTATTTAGAAATATATATTGTAAAATTAAGTATTTGTCAATAATCGCAATATGATTAGAATATTTTAGATTCTTTACAAGACATTTTAATAAAATTTGAATTAATGACATATTATAATAATTACATTGAATTTTGATTAAAATTTCTTCCTAGAAATTGATTTACTTTTTCTTAGTTTTTATTTAGATTATAAAATCATAAACACAAATAGTCTTTAGACGAAAATTAATATATTACAACTTTGATATCAGCAGAGGTTATCTTACGACTTCATTCTATGTGCAGTATAAAAGCAAATGTTGTTACCACTTGTCAGCATATTCTATTTAGTTTGCCGATAGAAATATTAATTCAATAATATTAAAAATACAATAATAATGGGATTAAAATTATTTTTAATACTTTCCATTGTATTTACCGTTGGGCTCGCAGAAAAGAGGTATAAAGCTTGTGGACAAGCTTTGGTTGACCTAGTGAATTGTGTATGTGAGTCGACTAACCCTATTTTCCCGAATAGAAATATTAGAAGTATTGATGATAACGGTAAGTACAACATTATTTTGAGAATATTAACCTACTAGATCTGACAATGTGTACCATTTCTATTTTAGGATACATAAAAAATATGGAAGAGGCTTATCCCGTAGAAAATAATATTATGACTGACCATTCAGCAAATAAATATAATTCTATGGTTCATTACCGTCAACGAAGAGATATTGTTGATGAATGTTGTAAACAAACATGTACCAGAGAACAAGTTGAAGAGTACTGCCTAGTCGTGAGCACGAGAGAGTGTTGACATGTTATTAGAAGCTTAACTTTAAACATTTTTATTTCATTGATTAATAAAAGTGTACAGCCGAAATTTGGCTGATTTACATAAAATTAAATAGCGAATTTAATATACCAACCCGTTTACTGCAGTCTCCAATTCTTCTTGAGAAAAATATACTTTTTCCTAAAAATAACATAATGAATATAATGTCACCATGTATAAAACACCATCATGTTTTATACATGATAGTTTTCTTTCGTTTGTTACCCGAAGTATTGTTCGTGCTATAAAAAGTAATCTCTGCTGAAGACGTCAGCCGACGAAGATTATTTCTTCCATAAACTTTAAGCAGGGTTACAACATGCAGCATTAACAACGAATTTTTCTCGATATTTATGCATCTGAGAACAAAAGTGAAAGAGACCAATATTGTTAAGAATAAAATATGCTACAACTTTTGTTCTAAGTTTTTTTTTTGTAGCATGTTCCGATTCCTGAGTGTTACCATTAACAGCTTGTAAAACAACGATTTTCATCAAATTTTCATATTTTCGTATTTTCCTCGATATCTATGCATCTGAGAACAAAGGTGCGCGAGCGCAGAATTGTTAAGAATAAAATTTGCTAGGTACTACTTTTGTTCTACTTGTCAGCATATTCTATTTAGTTTCCCGATAGAGCTATTAACTCAATAATATTAAAAATAAAATAATAATGGGATTAAAATTATTATTAATACTTTCCATTGTGTTTACCATTGAGATCTCAGAGAAGATGTATCATGCTTGTGGACAAGCTTTGACTGATACACTACTGAATTGCGTATGTAACACGACTAACGCTGTCGTCGCGAATAGAAATATTAGAAGTATTGATGATAACAGTAAGTACATACAATATTATTTTGAGAATGTTAACGTACTAGGTCTGACAATGTGTACCATTTCTATTTTAGGATTGAAAGAAAATATTAAAGACTCGTATCCCTTAGAAAATTATGTTATGAGTGTATAATTCAACAAATAAATATAATTCTATGATTCATTACCGCTAACGAAGAGGTATTGTTGAAGAATGTTGTGAAAAATTATATACCAGAGAACAAATTGAGGAGTACAGCAAAACCGTGAAATGTAATAAATTGCAAAAGATATCAAAAAAATAGATTTGCGTTTACATGTTATTAGAAGCTTAACTTAAAATTTTTTTATTTTATTGATTAATGAAAGTGAAGAACCGAAGATTGGCGAATTAAAAATACTATAATATTAATATGCAGGAAAATATGAAAATTTGATGAAAATCGTTGTTTTACAAGCTGTTAATGGTAACACTCAAGAATCGGAACATGCTACAAAAAAACTTGGAACAAAACTAGTAGCAAAATTTATTCTTAACAATACTGCTCTCTCGAACTTTTATTCTCAGTTGCATAAATATCGGGGAAACGGCGAAAATTATTTTTTATAGCACGAACAATACTTGGGCAATACAGCAAGTCGTAAACCAATTGAACAATGGAAAAGGAATGGTAACAAGCAAAAGAAAACTATCATATATAAAACATGATGATGTTTTATACATATTTATTATTTTATTTTTAGGAAAAAGTATATTTTTCTCAAGAAGAAATGGAGACTGCAGCAAACGGGTTTATTACATTCACTATTTAATTTTAAATAAATCAGCCAAATTTCGGCTGTACACTTTTATTAATCAATGAAATAAAAATGTTTAAAGTTAGCTTCTAATAACATGTCAACACTCTCTCGTGCTCACGGTTAGGCAGTACTCCTCAATTTGTTCTCTGGTACATGATTGTCTACAACATTCATCAACAATACCTTTTTCTAGGGAATAAAGCTCTTCCATATTTTCTATGTTTTCTAAAATAGAAATGGTACACATTGTCACATCTAGTAGGTTAATATTCTCAAAATAATATTGTACTTACTGTTATCATCAATACTTCTAATCTTTCCAAGAGGTTTAGTCGACTCACATATACAAGCCACTAGGTCAGCCAAAGCTGATCCGCAAACTTTATACCTCTTTTCTGCGATACCAACTGTAAATACAATGGAAAGTATTAAAAATAATTTTAATCCCATTATTATTGTATTTTTAATATTATTGAATTAATATCACTATCGGCAAACTAAATAGAATATGTTGACAAGTAATAACAACATTTCCTTTTATACTGTACACAGAATAAAGTCAAAAGATAACCTCTACTGATATCAAAGTTGTAATCTATTAATTTTCGTGTAAAGGTTATTGGTGTTTAAGATTTTACAATCGGGGGTGAATACACAAGAGCGTGACTTTTAATCGGATAATTTTATTTTTACACGAACATTTTGTTGCCATGTTGATTGAGAGTGTTTTTACAAAGGGCAACAAAACTTGAGTGAATTAAAAATAAAATTATCCTGATTTAAAATCAAGCTCGAGTGTATTTTAGGGAAATTAATACACAACAATTGCACAATGTATTTCGTTGTCCGCATAGGCTATCTCCGAAACTAAAAGTGATAGAAAAAAAGTAGCTTACA